TATACTCATGTAGAGGAAATCAAGTAGATCATTTCTAGAAAAAAACCCGAACTCAATATTCAAATTCTATCGAGAGAAAAAAAGCCGCGAAAAAATCCGCAATAATTATGCATCAACCTAATACTATGCATCTTTGCAAATATTCGCAAGTAATGTCCGATATATAGAATTGTTTTTATAGCCGGCTGAAATGTGGAATATTTTCATGCACAAAATTGTACGGAAAGCAACTTAATGTTTTGTTTTAATTACCTTTTATTATATGACCTGATGTACACATAATGTAGGTGTCTAGATTGCATTATGTGTAGATTTATACATATTGTAGGTGTCTACAAAGAAAGGAAGCCGTTATTACCACTCAGTATGGATCTCCTCTCCTCTTGGTGATTCATTTGCTGAGCACAAGTTGACTGTTCTTTCTTCTCAAGCTTTAGTGAGTTTGCGATTGCAAGCCTCTGCCTGCCTTTTTCCCATCGCACGGCTTCAGATTATCGAGAAACCTCTTTCCTACTTAACTTCTACAGGCCATTGATGTAGACGGGGACGGATGGCACGACGTGTTGGGCTTCTTTGAAAACGGATCCATGTACTGTGCGACATTTAGTCCTGAAGGAACCAGACCACACGATTGCAGTGACCTCTTTGTGTAAGACACTACTAATTTGTGGTTATTGTTTCCGGTTCACTCCTACACCCCTTCAAATATCATTATCACTCGTTTCAGGGGCTTCGTCAGGTTGGATCCTTACCCTAAAGTGCCACACCTGTTTGTCGACTTGACTGGTTAGTTCTTTGCAACATGAAATGGTTCATTTTGTGATTCTTCAAAGTGGAATTTTATTTGGAATTCATGTCCCTTTTTCTTCCAAGTATAGCTCTGAAAATATAAATGTTGTGATTAGGCGATAATCTTGCCGAAATCGTCTTTATGGACACAACAGTTTCCAATGGTGTAAAGTATCTGACTCCTCGAATGTGGGGCCGCTTCAAAAACGGATGGAGAGAAGCTCCTACAAAAATTAACCAAATTCCCGGTGAACATCAGGTATAAGTAGTTTTCTTAGTGTAACAAACAAGAGAAAAGATTTCCATTTACTATTTGGGTTTTCTAGCTGACCTTTCTTAGTTTCACCCATTTTTGACAAATTATTTTTACTCAACGTGCTCCGCTTTATTTTATCTTGTTCAGTTTGTTGGCGCTCCTTTAGCTGCTGATTTCGATGCAGATGGTTTGATAGAGTTGCTCGTACCAATTTGCCGTAAAGAAAATTGTAAACAGGTCCCTCAGTTCACTGATTATCTCTTTTACTATTATCTATTGAAATTCCATTGGATTGACCTTACAGCTCATTTTAGGTGACAGAATTTGCTAATTGGCAATACAATCGTGGGTGGAGCACAAATGCTTTCGATTTGCAGGTAAATATCAATGTTTCACAAGGATTTTTAATTAAATTCATGTAGGATAACTGAATTATCCATCTCTACAGCTTATTATCTAATCAAACAAGAAATGTATTGCTATTGTGATGTTGAACTGCTTCACTAAGTAACACTAAAAATTTGATGATATTACATGGGTTAACATTTTTTTTTTCAACAGAATTTCAACATTTTATCGGACGAAGACTCGTTGATACTGTTCCGTGTTGGAGATTTTTCTCTCGACGGTTATCCCGATCTTGTGGCGACTCTTGTTGAAAAACAAAGCCTTGGTCAGATCAAGGTTAGTTCATTATATTCGGACCGATTCCTATTCTCATTCACATTCAGTTCATATCGTTCCGGTTTGTACTATTCACCTGATTTTAGGTTATTGATAACGTGCTGTGCACAAATTGCGACCGTAATGGTACAAGGTGCGCTTTTTGCCTAAGTCTGAAGTGATCTTAGTGCGATGGATTAGGAGAACCAGGAATTTTTTTTACAGGAGATTCGAGATTAACAAGAGTATATTCATTCAGCCAAAAGAAGTAGCACTCGGGGAAATAAAAATGGCTTCCTTTTTTGATTTGAAGGTGAGTGGTGTATTCAGTGCGTATGTGCAAAGTAATGAACCAAACATGTGTAGATTAGTAGTCATTTCTTTGAAAATGTGAAGATTTAAAATAATTCCTGTCTTTTGTCGCTTATATTTTCTCGCTTTTCTGAACAAAANGTACCCCTTCTGCGCAGTTAGTTCTAGTTTTTTGGCGACATTGCCACTGTGGCTTTTTCTGTTATGGAGAGCGCTGAGGTATAATACTATGTCCTGTGAAATCTTTATAATCAGTTATTCGTTGTTAGTTCGCTGAGGTGGAGCGGACTCAAGCAGCGCGCAACTACGCATGGTCCGAGGATGGAAATCCCGTCGCGGTACTTCCCTGCCGACTAACTCCTCCATCTCTCTGAGGTCGCTTAATTGGTATGAGTCTTGTCTGGAAAAAACACCGACTTGTACATTGGCTTGCCGCGCATTCCTTCGTACAGGGCTTATAGGCATTTAAACTTCCACAGCAACTCTGAATGAAGGTTGAATGTGTGGGCGCATCTCGTAACGGGACCGATCATTACCAAAAAGTTAAATTTTTATTTTTAGTTAGTCTCTGACGCCAAAGTAATATGGTTCTTAGGAAAGGTGCAGCGACTCCACTGACTCTAATTTATATTCTTAACTTAATGTGACATTTTACTATTCCATTTCACGAGATGTTTATGCTCTTTTCTGCTTTAGGAGGACGGAAACCTTGATATTCTTATTGAATATAAACCTTTTGAAGGAGAAACAAAATTCAGGTCAGTTTGCTTCTGTCAAATTCAGAATTGGTATTTATTTTTGCTATTTTTTCATGACGTGTGCAATCAAAAATAGTTCAATCCTTTGGCTTTTTCCGAAGCACTACTCTTACGAACTTTTTAGCTTTATCCCTTGTGACGACAAGGGCGATGTCACTTTTCTCAAAGTCACAGTGTTTACGAATGTATGTGACAAGCACTGCAAGCCATCATCTAAAGAGCTGGGTTTGTGTTGATTTTCGGCGTGCTTTGTTTTATGTTTATTTTCGTTTTGCTCTCAATATGGTATCATGTAATTATTTTGAAAGAAATACGTCGTCTGGCGCCGTCATCCTCAGTGCCATTAGATGTTACTATTTTTAACTGCTGCCTAGTTTCAGTGGCGGGCAACAAGTCTAGACCTTTCATAACTGCTAATGTCAGCCTGATCATGGTTATTTCCCAAAAAGGTGCGGGGTGACTTTGGTTCAGTGCAAAATCTCCCCACTCACGCGGGTGCAGGGGAGGGGAGGGGGGGTGCAGCAAACATCGTTTCCAGAAAAGACACTCAACATTTAAGCGAGTTCATTCAATCATAGTAAGGTTTATTGTATTCTTGATTTATTGCTGTCTAAGACTTATCGTTTCCCCTCCTGGTAGTAGTTTCTGACTCAAAAAATGATTGTGTGGTCGAGTTTATTACCTGCTCTCTCAAAAGCTATTCTATAGACCATTAAGCATCATGCGCTCATAGGTGGCGTAGCAAGCGACAGCTGTAGCCGAAGTTTTCAAGGTCTTCCTGATTTCAACATAATTTGTGCGTTTTTGAGTCGAATTTGAGAGGAACAACAGGGTTGCTAGGTCAACATTATGTTCCACATTTGTTTATAGGGTCACTTCACGTTAAAAATTGTTCCTTAGATTTCCCCTTTGATGAACCTCTGGCCACAGGGTAGCCTAAGAGGAGTTTTCGGGTCGGCAAACGACCAAAAAAGACGTAAGAAGGTCCTTAAAACCAGCTTAGTCGACGAACGCAGCGAGGGCGAACGAGTTCTCAAGCGTTGTAATATTTGTAAAGGTTGCACCATTCGCAGCAGGACCCAACCTTGCATGCAGGCAGCTCACTGCAGCCAGCTGTATGCAGTGGCGCGCGCATTTGAAAAGTTCTTCCGAAAACCCCTCCCATTTGTCACATTATCGTCCAATCCCTAATTTTACGGGGAGTGCGTAAAATTTGTGCTTGGGAGAGATTCACAGCTCCTGTTTTTCAAGAAAAGAACCGAAGAGACGTCGCGAGAGCGTCTAAATTTGGAAGAATGCAGGCGACGGGTCAAGTTTAACACGAAGAAGTACTTCCCATTCCCGTTCAGTAGATCTTGTATTCTGTGTTCAACGTATGAAGTTAATTGCAGGATCTGGTATTAGTTGGGGCGGAGCTTGCGCAAGCTTCAGTATGTCTGATGGATGGGGTGGATCACTGAAGAGTTCAGCATGTCAAATTCCTGCTGCTACTCACCGTGCCTTAGCCCCACCTTATGTTCTTTTCGGTCTTGGTCGAAGTCCCAATTTTGTGGATGAGGTTTGTTCTATTTTAAAGTTTCATTTTTTCTTAATGATTACGTTCCTTTGTAAGCTTACTATTGGGGCGCCGCTCTACTCTGACGCACTTAACGCTCGTCAGCACACGTTGAAGCAGATAGTGCCGAACTCGAGGATTGTCGTAATACCTCCTAAAGACGGCTCTCAATGGCTCACGCGGCTTTACGTCACTCCTTCACAGCTGATCCTTCAGGTTCGTTGGAATTTTTCTTTATCGCCGCTCCATCTCTGCTGCGATGGCCGCGAACGCAGCGACCCGGTTAAGGGTGATAGTAACAACGTCCCTTTNCGGTTGATTCTCTTCATCTAAGTATGTATGTATGTATGTATGAATGTTGAGCAGTTGGTCGCCTTTTACTCTTCATTATTTCAATCCCACCTTTTTTGTTTTTTCCTTTTTCAACCTGAGGCGCTAGGGAGTAGCTGGGTATTCTGATGAGGTCACATAAAAGGAAGGAATACCGTCACATGATACCAATCGAATCGCCATGTGCGTAACGCATTATGTGGGCAGTTGGGTACTCTACTCTCCTCTGTCGGCTGTGACAATTACCTACTGGTGCAGAACATTTCAGAGTCTGGCGGTGATTGCACTTGTATGCGTTATGCTGTTAATGGTTGTTGCATTCCTGCATTATCGTGAAAGGAAAGAAGATCGCGTCGAACGGCAGCAACAATCGCAACGTTTCCATTTTGATGCCATGTGATGTGAAACGGCACCAGACACCATTTTTGTTCTGGTGGATTTTGGACTCGGCGGCATGTTGCGTAAGTTCACGTCTTCATCAAGCAGACATTTGCTCAGCTCTCCCTCTCTCTCTCTGAGCCTATGCCCATTGAGTTAGGTAGGTTTCAGTATGTTATTTTCTGACTTCGCTGCTCTTGAACTTTTTCAAGTTTCTTTTCTAATAAATATATGAATAAATTATATATACTATATATACTCATCGAGTTACTTGCGCTTCACCTTTTCGTTCCCCAAAGATACTTGTTTGTCATCCTTATCATCAGGTACGGTCATCAGTGCTTCTCGTATACGCCTGTTAAGTGCCTTCGGGTTTTCATTCATTATACGCTTTCTGTTTGCTTTGTATCACTAAAGCTGTTAATTGTTCAGTCTGACCGTATTTCCGTTCAACTCTGTGATATGCTCCACCATGCTATTGCTATGACACATTGGTTTTCTTTTCCTGAGACCACAGTTTTCGTATGAAATTCGTGCGGTGATGTATTGCAAAATGTATAAATAGTTTCATAAAAAAGTGCTTCCTTTTTCCATTGTCAGTGTGTGCAAAAACGAATTCCTTACTTTTTTATCTAATGAGAGTCACCTTGTCCGTCCAAGGGTGTTAGGAGAGACGAGGGACGGAACATTGGTGTGTCTGGAGACGAACGCGGCAAATTGTGTGGCGAATAAATATGTTCATTTTTCTTTGATCCGAATAAGCACTTGGTTTCTTATGCCGATCAAATCGATGCGCTTACTTATGAGCAGCTTCAACTCTGGGCCTTGTAATTTTTTTGTACTTAGACCAGTTTGGCTATGCACGCTAACGCGTGCGGTATATGTCTGTGTATGTCGACGGCCACTTATCCGCGACAGAGTCATTCAGCGGAATTTCGGATAATCAGAATACGACAGTTCTCTTTAGATTCGATCGCTGAACAGCTGACAGCATCACGCTCGACACATTTGAGCAGAGTTATTAGTGGTTGGTCATAGCCCCGTCCACCTTAGTGCAAACCCTAACCACTATACACTTGACAACCCTTCTTTTGACTGCTCCTAACCATTTTTCCGCATTCTAGAAAGTTTTTGAAGGGATGAGTTTTTGGTCCTGGCCCCGCTTTCCTGTGCCAACTTCGCCCACTTCGAGAATTTGACCACATTTGTTCCATTACCTCTTACCACGTGTTCTCCACGTTCTACAACGTTTTTGAACAGAGTTACGAATTTTAGATCTAAGCCCCGCCCACTTCGAGGATTTGACTACATTTGTTCCTTTACCTCTTGCCACGTTTTTCCACGTTCTAGAACGTTTTTGAACAGAGTTATGAATTTTTGATCTAAGCCCCGCCCTTTTTGGTGCCAGCACCGCCCACTCCGAGGATTTGACCACATTTGTTTCTTTACCTCTAATCACTTCTTTCCCGTGTTCTAGAACGTTTCCAAACGTAGTTCACTCATTTTTAAAAAGTTGCTTTCACCTTGACGCACGCCCCGCCCACCGTGGGCGGGGCTTCGCTGAGCTTACGCATGCCCAGCACGCATAAGGCATTGCCCACTCTCTTCACTTTTTTCCTGGCCTCGACGCCTTCGTTGGATCGAGTTATTAATCTCCGTGAAAAATACCGCCCACTGCGAGAACGCTCCGGTAAGTTTCCTTTATTGTAGTTGTTGAACCATCTCTCACCTTTGCACATTTTTTCCCGGCGTTTGGACTGTTATGAGAGCGAATTGGAAGAATCTATCCATTGCCCCGCCCAGTTCCGGCGCATGCCCCGTCCCTTGAGGGCGGAGCTCCGCTGAGCTCACGTGTGCTCTGTTGGTCATGCCCTATGCTCAGCCCATTGCAAACTTGACCCGGCCTCTCCAGGTGTCTGTTCATGTTATATCGATTTTCCGTACAAACAGACAGACAGAGCGCTTTATACAATTTATAGTAATGATAATAGCTGAAGCAAAACTAAGGTCGCAGTGCTGGGAAAGCTAGTCGAGAGTTATGTTTTTTATGCAATCGTTTTGCTTGCTATAAAGTATGAGACAAGTGAAGAAGTAAAGAAGACAAGGAACGTCCGGCTCCGCGCTCACCTCTTCGACACTGCGGTCTTTCCTGCTTTGACATCCGCCTCTATTTGGACTCTACGGGATCAGGATGAGCATGGAGTAAAAGTCAATTCAACGCGCTGTGGAAAGAACAATGCTTGGAATTTCCCTACACATGCAAGTGCTGAAGGGAATCCGGAGTTGTCCGTTAACGAACAAAGATCAGGGATGTCGTTGCTTTTGCCAAGAAATCGAAGATCAGGTGGACCGGGCACGTTATGCGATATCGTGATGACCCTTGAACCAGGCCGGCTGCTGACTGGATTTCTGATTCGTACTGGATGCAGGATTTCTGACAAAAAAGCACCATGACGGCCACCAGCGCGGTGGTCAGACTTCTTCACGGAAGCTCTCTACGAAAGGAACGCTTTGCCCCGTGTCCTTAGAGCGAGTACGACTCACTGGACTGCTCTGGCTCGCGACAGGGACTACTGTAGACGTTACTTGCGCACGCTCGAGGAAATCGATGATCAACGGGGCGATAGGTGATTGGGCACTGAAATAAGAATAAGGTTTAAAGGAATAGGCTTAAAAAGTTTCTTCGAAAAGTCGACTTTCCCATTTGGGGAAAGTGAAACGGGAATTTTTCAAAAACTTGATTCTTTCTTTTCCTGGATCTAGGAGCATTCGAGCATTTGGGAAGGTCCTGGCTCCTTTATTGTTTGTTAACCGTTCAGAACTTGTAATACCTTCGGTTTTCCTATAACGTCCTCTGCTTGTAAATCATATATTTGTACCTTGTGGTTGATAGTATTAATTCCACCGCTATTTTAGGATAAAACAGTGATAGTGGTGAGCGGTTCATCGTTCGCTAAAGGCAGTTCAGAAGCCAGGTAAAGTTTCCTGGCTACTCGTGCTTGGCTCACCTCTCACTAAGCTGTCCTGCATTTGGGAAGTTCGCCACATCTTCCGGTCCTCTCGAAACGAAGGATGCCGTGTTGTCATTGATATGTCAAAAATTGGTTTCCAATAATTCTTCTTTATATTAGGTGAAGAGAGGTGCTCAAAATTTTTTAAATGTTTTCGGAGTCACTCACAGGGACAGTGCAACACGGTAATTTTTATCCATTCACGCCATTCGCACGAGTGTGGTTCACACAGATGCCGAAACGTAAGCTGGATAAAGTTGTGAATCTCTGAAAGGCTCAAAACAGCACAAAAGACAAGTGTTTCACCCAGTTTAGTCGAGAAGTTAAGTTTATAAGACCGGGCCCAAATATTACTGAAGTGAAATTGCGGGGTTTGTCCCGCTGTAGTTTTATGAGTGTATGGCATTGCATAGGTTGTACCCAAGAAGTAAGGGTTTGTAGTCAGTGTTTAGGGCTCCGAGTCAGTTGTGGTTAACGTGACGTTCCAAATTCCTAGTGTGGAGGTTTGCAGCACTGCATAGTAGGGATGAATATGAAAAAAAAAACAAAAAAAGCGTGAAAATTGAAAATCTAGTATATTTTACCTGCCGGACCGCTCTTCTCGCGCCTGACTCTCCTCCTTTTCATGTAAAATTGACCTGTCACCAACGTTTATTGCAATTTTTGACACTCTGATACAAAAGAGCAGGTCTAAATTTCCGGTCACACACGCAAACAGCGGCCACACTTTATCAGCACCTCGCCCTTCATGAGCTGAGTCCTGTAAATTTCGTGTGTTGATATGACTTGGTTCACCCTCCTATTTTTCAAGTTGATTGATTTTCTCAAGTTGATTTCAAGCGAACTACTCGGTTTACACCCATTTCACGCACGCTCCGCGCCCTACCTCCTCTGCTCTCTTGCGAGTAGAATGCCGTTGTGCCTTTTCTACCACTTACCATCATTGTCCTTATTCTGGCTCCTGGACCTCCATCAAAGTTGAGCACACCATGCTCAGACTAGCAATTATTGTCGCGGCTCGGATTTCGAAGGTAATCGCGTCGGAGGGGGAACCGGGTTGACTATGGCAAAACCTGTGTTGTAGAAGGGCCCACACACACTGTGAGAAAATGCCGCGCCTGAGTGCGATGGATCCTGCCACGGGCCGCAAACGCAAGCCGCAAGAAGGGGAGGAGTGGAGGTAGTCGTTAAAACAGGAGGTTTGTAATGTAGTTGCATTCGATCCACCGTGCTTCACGAAGTACTAACGACGGAGGTTTACACTAACGACGAAGTTTTAGGGACGCGGGACGAAAAGATCGAGATTGAATTGAATGGAGCGGGGCTTGCTCGATGAATTTCTCGCATTTCCAACACTTCCCTCCATTTGAATGTTGAAGGGGGCGGCGGTTGTCGATTGGAGCAAAGTTTCCTATTTGTGCACTGCATGCGTCGAAAGGTCACACGACATTTTATCGCTCGCGCTTCTTTCTATGGGTGGAAGCTCCCTGTGGACGGAGCCTACTTTGCGTTGCATAGTGATACAGCCATCCATGAACTTCACCGAAATTCACGTCCCACGATACTGCAGGAAAAGGCTTCATATGGAAATTGTGCCTTACTCGGACCGTAACTTGTATACCAACAACGAGTTCCATCTCAATAACATGGACAATTTACCCTTCATTTTTCCGGAAAAGGTCACTTTACCTACATTGCAAAATGTTACAGCATCTGAACAAATCAATTTATTCAGCAGCTGAATGACGACAGAGGGCGTTGCGTGATTAGTAATCAATTGAGCCCACTTTGATTTATCTCAAAAATGCTACGGTCTAAGTTGAAGTAGAGGCTATTGATCAGTTCCTGGTCAACTTGGTGCGCCAACCGTTGAAATTAGTCTATTCAGCTCAATGATACTCCCAACTCTTTAGTTCCTGCATAAATCTTCCTTATCATTAATCCCCGTACGTTTTCCATCAGGCTCAAGTCAGGGCTGTAAGCCAGCCAGGGCAAAAGGTCGATTTGGTGC